AGCTTCCCTACATATCCAGATGGAATATCAAATCTTAACATTCCAGGAGAGTTCAAGAACAGGCGAAGCATACATCATTTGATCATCTCTATTGCCCTACAGAAAGTATAAGATTGGCTCCTTGTTCCAGTTTTAAGACATGCTATGTGAAAATGCTTTCAAAATAAAAGGAAGTAAGTGGTGGTACAGGATGAAACCAGAGTTGATAATCCTGAGTTGTTAATCATTGAAGTGGGTGATAGGTGCTTGAGGTCATTGTTACTCTCTTTGCTTTTGGGTCTATGTTCAAAATTTTCTTAAATCAAGGTTGTTTTTTTTTAATTTTTAAGAAAACATGGCATAGTGTTTATATTTCATAAAGCTCAGTAATGAGTATGCAAGCATTTATTCTGTATCCTTTGAACATACTTTAACTTTTGTATTTATGATCACTGCTTTGGAAGTTTTTGTGGGCTAAATCCAACACTTAGGCCACAGTTTCTTTTGACTGCTTTTTTCCTGAGTAGGGGGTCACACTTTCTTCTTTGGATTACACATAGTTTTGGGGCTGAAAGCTGGAAAATTTAGGTTATACATGGCAATTATTGATTCTGATATATTTTTTTGATTTTTAAAAACTTGGATTTAAACTGAGGAAGCCATATAGGAAAGTGTGGTTGCTGATGTCTCTATTTTTTTCCCCAATTAGAGTTGACATTCAATATTATATTAGTTTCAGGTGTACAGCATAGTGATTAGACATTTGTATCATTTACGAAGTGATCCCCCTGATTAGTCTAGTCCTCACCTGGCACTACACATAGTTATTACCATATCATTGACTGTATTCCCTATGCTTTATTTACTTTACATCCTCATGACTAGTTTGTAACTACTACGAAGAAGGTACTTCTTAAGGCCTTCACCTTTTTCATCTTGCCCAACCCCACTCCCATCTATCACCCCAACAAATCAAGTACCCATCTGACACCATACAGAGTTACTACAATATTATTGCCTCTATTCATTATGCTGTACCCTACATCCCCATGACTATTGTGTAGCAATCAATTTGTACTTCTTAACCCCTTCCCCTTTGTCACCCACCCCCAAGTTCACCACTTTTAACTGGGAAAGTCATGGTTTCTGCAAAGCCTCCACCCCCACCATCAAGTTCATCCCCTCAGGCAACAAAGCTGCTAGTTTTCAAGATTGGCTTGGTGCTAGAAAATCCAGGCTTGAGGAGTCAGGGGAGCCCCAGCCAGGAAGGCTACAGACTCCAGTAGTTCTTACCTGGAGCTCTAGAAGTTTTTAAAAAATCAACAGTTTTCAATTTCTTGTCTGACTTTGGTCAATTACCAGAGAGCCTCAAAATGATCATCTTTTCACCATTTTAGTTCTATACTTTTTTTTTTGCAAGGAGGATTGGCTGAATTCTTCACACTGTCATAGGCAGACGTCCCTTCTAATATCTGTATGTCTATTCTTGAATCTTTCTCTCACACACACACACACACACACACACACACACACACACACACACGGATGACAGCAGGGGTAAAATTACTTTTCACCAAGCAAATCTAACATTTAAAGGAAAAAAATAAAAGTGAAAACACTTTAAAAATGGAAGTCAATTTCTAAAGTCGCAATTCTGGAATGAATTGATTTTTACCATCAATGTTTTTCAACTCAGGAGCTACAGCTGGCAAGTGTAATCCTGAGAAGAGCAACACAGGTTGAATGCATGTATCTAGACGACTCCAGTAGTACATTTGCGTGTACCTGGCATGTCAAATGCTTTAGGGAGATGACTCTGAAACGATTCCAAAAATTTTCAAAGACTACACATTCCATTTAGCCTTTCAAAAATTACCTCGTTAGTCTAGAATTTGTAACTTTATCACCACCTCCCCATTTTTATTCAGGGAGAGTGCAGAAAAATCCCTTGTATAATTAATGTATTAACTCACAGATGACACCATGGTTCTTTAAATACAGTAATACCTTGGTTTGTGAGCATAATTTGTTCAAACTACTCGTATTGCAAGACATCACTCATTTACCACGTTAAAATGTATTAGAAATGTTTGCTCATCTTGCAGAACACTCGCAAATCACGTTCCTCGTTACTCGCAATCCAAGGTTTTACTGTACACCTAAATGGAAGGAGCTGCACAGGAAACCTGAAGCGAATTTATATTACTTTGTTTCCAATTCTTGTCTTTAAAAGAAATCATGTTTCCTTTCACCATCTGGGATGGACCTTGCCCTTTGGGAAATGCATGCATTCAAGAATATACCATTGTTTGAGAAAACACCTCACAGTGCAATATCCTTCAACATCGAAATGCCTTTTATTTTACAAAAAAGAATAATGGATCTTACATTTTTAACAGTCTCGGGATATCTAGGAAACAACCTTACCAAATTCTTACATTAAGCTCACAAATATTTTTTTCTTTTTTTAGTTCACAAATTTTTCTAATCATTAAGATATAATTTTCGAGGGTCAGAAATAGTTCACTGAAGTCAAAGAATGTTAGAGCTGAAAAGGCGAACACTCTTGTAAAACAGTCACAGCTGAAAATGATCACAGTTAAAATATCATTATAGTGCAGATTATTAATCTCTTAACCCCAAAGGGCTAAAAGACTGATGCACAGTTAATGGCCAAGGCAGAAAACAAACTAAGGGTTCAAACATTTGCCTTAAGTGATCCATTTATTAACATTCTTGAGTTTTTCTTTATCTCCAAAACAAATATTGGTGTAATTATAATGGATTATTAATTTACTGGATGTATTAAATTAGGACAATAACATGCTGTAAAACCCTCAGACATATCACATATTCACATGACCTAAGTCCCAATAACAGGAAAACAAGTTCAGGTTAACAACATTTTGTATTCCATTTTGGTTAGGGCAAGAACTGACTTTTATCGGATATTTAATTTGCTTGCCTGCTTCCTCCTAGAGTGCTCAAATGTTACTTCCTGTAACCACACCCCCTTCTCCCATCTGTGCACCAGGCCCAAGTCAGGCCCCCCTATGACTTCTCGCACTTCTCTCGTAATGGAATGGATAGGCCTCTGTCTCTCCCACTTGACTGTGGATTGATTAAGTCTTAGACTCTCCCCAGACCCTCATCTTTAGCAGGTAAAGCTCCCTGCCAACCTCACAGAAAATTCCAACTTCCCTCCACCCAAATCCACCTGCTATCTGCATCTCCCCTTTCTTCCATCACTCCTGTCCCAATAACGGAGTTCCTTCCTATCTAAGGCCAGTCCCTCCGTTTGGAATCTATTTGTTTTTTCCTTCTAGGAATTCTTCTCCCCACTCCCTTCAGCCTCTCCATCCCGTAAGCATGTGCACATGCGTAAGCCTCCCATCTGGCTTCAACCAATTCTCCCTCCATCCGACTTTCCTCTGCTCCTAACGTCCTCTGTCCCACTCACAATTTCTCAGAAGAGGTACCTACAAACACTATCTCCACATATCACCTACTCACCCCACTTACCAACATGGCTTTGACTCCCACCATTCCACCAACACTGCTCTAAGTCGACGCCAACTTCCTGGTCCCTACTACATGCAATGCAATCTTCTTAAAACTCATCTCACCAGAGCAGAAAACACTTGATACTTTGGACCGCTCCTTATCTTCCTGAAATTATCCTTGGTTTCAGTAACACCCCCCACACCTGATATTCTTTCCCACTTGGGCCGTAGTAATCACTTCTAACATTTGATACAACTATAGATTTTATAAAGCGTTTCCACCAGTGGTACACTGATTCATTTATAAGTACTATGAATGAATGTGTCCCTTGATCCTTACAACCCCGTAAAATTACTAGGTAGGTGCTGTTTCAGAGATGAGAAAAATCAGTCCTATAGTCAATGTAATTTTGTTAAAGGTCACATAGAAAAGGGTCAAAGTCAGTACTCCCATCCATCTCTCCACTTTAAAACGCATGATCTTCCAATACTGCCGTCATATTAAGTTAAAAATATCAAAGGTGCCACAAAAGAAAAAAAACGAAGACATGACATTGCAGAAATGCAAGAGCCCATCACTATGCGTATCGCCTCTGAAGGGAAAAAAAGGCTGGTTAAAGCCTCTTGGACCCTCTTTTCATACAGTATTGCACCTTAAGCACCTATTCAATGGTTCATACTTAGCATTTCCAAGCTCCAACAGCATCCTAACAGCAGACATCCCGGAACACTTGAAGGCATTAGCTTCGGTAGTTGATCAACTGCTGCTATAAACAACATGTGTAAGTCATTTCTCCCCCTTCTAAAGAAAAAGTCAGCAGCTGTTTGCTAAAAAATCTTTTTTTATTGTGGATGAAGACATTGCCAACTCACATATATCATTTTTATTTGGAGTTTTTTTTTTGGTTTTTTTGCCTTGCAGTGAGTGCTCCTGAGAAATTCAGAAACGCACTGACTTTAGCTCTATAAAATGTAACCCAATATTATGGTCAGGTTGTAAATTTCCCACATTTCCTTATTTCCCTAAAAATCAAAAGACAATGGATCAATTTTAAGTAGAGAAACCTTAACAAGTTAAAAAGTAAACACTGGCAAATAATCACAAATGTCAGAACATTAAAAGTACAATTATTTTTTCCATAGGAATATATAAAATAAATATCAGTTTTACTTGATACTTACAAAATTAAACCTTTTTGTTGAAGATGTGGAAGATGTTTTAAATATTTTGATATATGAAAAACTTCACTAGCTTTAGAAATCAAATTCAAATGCTTTTAAGTTTGCATAATAGCACTTTCTCAATAATTCTTAACACTCCCGGTCCCTGAAGACAGTTTATTTTCCACCTAATGATTGGATAAGTATTCTGAGTCTTTTTCTCCCTTCAATTAACCATTAAAATGTTAAAATAAACTGGAAGCTTTATTTGGCGGTGGTGGGGGTGGATATTTAATACTTTAATTGGCTGGTTTTAAGGAAGTCATTTCTTTTTCTCATGTTTTTCTGGGGTTTTTTCCCTCCTTTTTAAGCCAATAATGGCAGGAACTAAAACTCAAAGAACCATATGATGCAGAATTGTACTAAAATCCAATTCAATGTCTGGCTGGATTTTCTGTTATAGTACTAGTGGTTGAAAACCGTTAGGAATGTGAAAAACTGTGGTAGCTAAAGCAAAATTCAACCACAAATTCTAATAAGTTTGTAGAGAAGTAAACAGTGCAATTACTGTAATTAAAATAGTGCAGTAAAATTACTGCTAGCAACATCCTCTTACTAACATGAGAATGTACATGCTTCATCACTGTATGGTTACTAAGAAGATTCCTTGAGCAGATGGTTCATCTCTGACACAACTTAAGTTTCAGAAAAGTAGGTGAGTTATGTCTGCTTTAGATCAACAAACACTGAGTATGCATACCAGTGAGCTATAGTTTCAATGATGATACAAATGAAACATTAGGTACTACAGCTTTAGTTCAAGGTCATATACTTAATTAAATAGCAGCCATGTAAGGTCACGCTGTGATGTTTAGATATACACTCCACCCATAACAGCTTTCAAACTTATGTTAAACTACTGGGTAAAGGGGGACAAGCTGTTTTGAGTAGAGAAGGAAATACTCAAAATGTCATAAAAGGCATTTAAAATATGACAACATACTACTTAAATATCCACTATTTAAATTTTAATTTTCAAATTAAAAGGGAAATTTTTTTTGCATGTTCTATTTCTTCAAAATGAAAGATTGTGTCTTTTTATTTTTTAAATTAGAAACTTTTATTTCAGATGCTCCACACTGAAATGAAACTTTAATAGCAAGTAGAAAATAATTTAGGATGGTCAGTGAAAGCATCTTTGAAAGGATCATATAAAACCCAAGAGTAATAATTTCATAGAGAAATAATAATGGGCAAAACAGACAAGAGGCAGTTTGACAGTTCTAATATAGAACTGGCATGACAACTTCCTTTAAGGTATACTAAATAAAAAATGGCAACATAAATAAATTAGCTAAGGAGATGGGACGTGGTGAAGCAGCCATGTCTGTTATTAAATTCTTCAGAAAAACCAGTCTTACCTATCAACGCATAAAGACTTCCCATCTTCTAAATACAGTAGAAAGTATACAGTTAATTACAGCAAAATGTACAAATAATCAAATTTAGCCCTGGCCAGAGCCAGGGCTATTTACATATTTGGGTTAGTATCATTTCTACCTTGTTATACAGATGTTTCTGTTTTAAAGGCATGTTGAAATTTACAAAATTTCCAAGAAATGTCTTTAAATGTACAATTTCCACAACTCATAAAAACAAGAACATCCTGATATAATTAAATTCCAAGTCAGGATTTTTTATGATAAGCTTTATTAATAAAACTAAAGAAATACTCCCTTGCTCTTTAGTTCCAAAGGCCTGGTGCTAGAGTTGCTGAAGTAAGTCACTGCCCTCAGTGACCACGAAGGTGAGAATGGACAGCTGCAGGACTGACATGCCTCTCATACACATGCCTCAGAAAGAGGCAGGAGGCATCAGATTTAGTGATATTGCTAATTAGAGTTCCGTATGCAGCTGTACAATCTAACACTTATATGAAAGTTGTGTGTATGTGAGAAAACAATTAGTTTTAAGATAGTACCTTTAAAAAGATACCTCAGTTCTTAAAACTATTGGGCTGTCGGAAAAGTCATGGCGTATCTTTTCTGTTTTTCATTGCAAAAATGCGTCATGATTTTTCCGACAACCCAATAAATCATATATCCACAGTATGTACTTAACAATGAGAACAAACTGCTGATACAGGCAACAACTTGGACGGATCTCAAGGGCATTGTACCGAGTGAAAAAAAATCAATCTCAAAAGGTTATATACTGTGTGATTCCATTTATATAGCACTCTTGAAATGACAAAATGATAGAGATGGAGAGCAGTTAGTGGTTGCCAGAGGTTAGGGAGGGGGCTAAGGAGGGATGTGGCTATGATTATAAAGGGCAGCGTGAGGGGTCCTGGGTGTATCTGTCCAGTAGTGGGGATCACATGAATCCACACATGTGGTCAAATTGCATAGAACCAAGTGCACACACGTTCCACCTCGGGACACTGATGCCCTCCCAGGGACAACCGTTCTCGGCCTGTCTACACAAAGTTCTCGCAAGATGATTAATATACACTTCAGATCAATTTTCTGTACTATGTACATGAGCCGTTACTATTTTCTTTCTTTTTTTTGGTAAATCTCTTGATTATCTTTAAAAGACAAACCACATGTCTCTAGCTTAAATAAACTTGAAAGTCAGAGGAGAAAATAAAGAACTGATATATAGCTCCTAGTATTCTTTTTATTTTTCTTATTTTTATAAGTTAAGATAAAAAAATCAAATGTTTCTAGCTTAAATTAGGTCAAATCAGAGAAGGATAAAAGCAGATAATATAGCAAAAACTTCCTCCTGTGACACTTGCAATTTCTAAAAGCACTGAGAATATATTTTTATTAATTTTAGAGAAAGTACAACTACAAACAAAATACATGACTTTTTCCAAAAGGCCACTTTGTGATAAAGTACATACACATAGTGTTCAGGGTTTCTTTAAAGTGCTATGCTTATGTCGTTTCTGGCTGGAAACTCATCTATTGCTTTAAAAGGTCTTTCAGCACAACTCCAGCACTGTTGTCAGGTAACACTGGCAAAGGTGTAAAAGTGGGCAGTACATCTGAGATGGGTTTTAGAAGGAGATGCCCAGGCCCGCCGGGTCCAAGTCCAGCTGGGTTAATAAGAGGTACAGCTGCGGAGCGGGGAGCCAAGAAAGGACTCACGTCTGCTCTTCTACCAGACCTGGATTCTGCGGTATCTAAATGATAAAATAGGAATTGTTTAGTCCCCTGTGTGCTAGTTAGTCAGAACTACCCATATGTTTTAGGTTCCCAGGTTTGGCCCTTGAATGAATTTAATTCATGTGCTGCTGGGGTCTGGATCCAATAAGCAGGGTCTCTGAAATATAGCAGCGTGGAAGGACGAGACGAGAGAAAAGAATGGGAGACAGAAAAGGGAAGCGAAGACTACTATTTGAATGTATCGCTAATATTTCACTAAACATATTAATACTGTTGTTTTATATTTAAATACCAGTTCTATAACTGATAAATTTAATTTACTATTGAAAAGAACCAACCCTTTTGCCTTTTGGGATACTGATTTTTAAGGTGGTTATTAAGAAAAGATTAAAAGAAAAAAAGACTCAGAAAGAACCTTTGCGCCTCCCCACCCTTTCCTGCCTAAGCGATTCGGAGGGAAGACCTGCTTAGCATGTTCACTGTAGCCTCATCTGAATCAAGTGGTAAGCAGGAGGGCTCCTGGCAGGGCTGTTAGCTGGATACCTCCTGATTCCCAGTGTTTCTGAGTCGCTTAGCAAGAATTGGCCTGCCTTGTATGTGCTGCTCTTCCTAAATCACCTGTAAATCACCCATTCCCACTTCTGAAGTCTATGACCCCCCCCCATTCTCCCCTTTTCTCTGTTGTCCAAAATGTCATATACACCCCGTGTTGCCTCACTGTCTTTGCAATTTTCATGCTTATGTGAATTCCCCATGTGTATTAAAATTTGATTTCTTTCCTGTTAATCTGTCTCTGTTAATTTGATTATTAGCCCAGCTAAAAGAACTTAGAAGGTGGGGGGAAACGTATTATTTTTGTAGCCCCCACACTATAATAACAGCATTTTAAAAAGTGTTTTATAAGTTAGAAGGCAAACTCTCTAATCACCTGCCTGAAAGATGAAGAACTGGAGAACTTTCCCCAATAATTATGATGATCATAAAACCAAACAAAACCTGACACCCATATTACAATAACAATCAGGTTTAATATTAATTTATCAAAAGAAAAACAATACATTACATCACCATTTTTTAGTCATCCAAAGGTTTGAAAACCATTCTTGATTAGGTTATTTTTCTATAAAGTTAGGCTAAACAATTAGTTTTTATTGGAATAGGTATTTGGTTTATGCCCTACTGTCTTAGTGGATAAAACTATGCGTTTATTACCCAAGACCACTAACAATTTCATTGAGAGACAAGCAACCCCTTGAAGGTGCTCACTTTAGCAATGGGAACCTCAAATACAAGAAGCTTCTAAAACAAAGCGGCACTGAGGCAAATTCATCAAATCTACTTATCACTGAGCACTCCTGGGACCCCGAGCTATACTTTCCTGTGAATGACAAATTTCTAACCTCTGAAAAAGCTTGTGGTACTACTTAGTAAGCTCTGACCCTAGCCACACACTTCCAAATTCAGGATTAAAGGCTGAGTTTGCTTTTTTCATGCAATCCCTGTACCAACTCAGGACCATCAGTGGCTTTTGTCTTTGATCAATACAAATCAAGCTGGGCACATGACTTGATAACTGAAAGAGGGAGGTGAGGGAAAAAAGGGGAAGGGATAGAGAGGAGAGAAAGGCGGGGGAAAGAAGGGAAAATCCTGCCATAATGAATTTTAGAATCGACTTTAAGATGCTATAACCTAGTATAACAAGGAAAAGGTGTTTTTAGTAGAGTCTACACCTGTTAGATAAAGTTAAGACTTTTCACTAAATTTAGTAGCCAAACCTTTTATGTAAATAACAAATTTTACCACTTTCTCTTCTATAAAAGTTCAGGAAAATAGAAATATTTGTTTAAATGGGTAAGCATGTTTCTTAAGTTTCAGAATATATTTAATATTTTATCCAGATTAAGTATCTGACATGATATAAACTTAAGAGTGTATAATAACATACCTTTACAGTCCCAACGATAATAGCAAACATGTTAGTCTGAATTAAAATATGAAGATTTCAGGGAAAAAAGAGACCTTACAATAGAGAATGTGTTTATAGTCTAAATAATATACATACTTAAATTTCAACTCAAGAAATTTTACTGCAAGCTATTGGGTTGTTGGAAAAATCATGACGCATTTTTGCAATGAAAACAGAAAAAATACATCATGACTTTTCTGACAACCTAATAACACAGGAGATATGAATATAAATAAAACTTTATAAACTAGTGGGATAGGAAACTATCACATATTGCAGAACCACCACACCATTTGCTTCTAGGCAGATCTTTCAACATATGAGAACGCTTCCTAACGTTCTTGGATGTGTAAGCCAGTTTACTAAACTACTCTTATAAATATTAACACACCAAGGTTTGGTTATTGAGTAAAGGAAAACAGGTAACAAGCAAAGGCGTATCAGTTTGCTACCACTTCCAAGAAGAGTAATTTGAAGTGGCTTATGTAAAGAGACAACAATTACACCAATAAACAAAAAGAAAATACTTCATATTGTTTAAATTAATCTAAGCCAATGAAATATCAGGCTGCTACAAGAATATATGAAGCCAAAATATAATGCCTTATTGGAATTTTGGAAGAAATCATAACACATTTTCAAAAGCACTAAAAATTTAGTTGATACCACTATTAAACATAATTATAAATTAAACATTCAGTTTTTTAAATTGTAGAAAAAAATAAATACAGTATCTAGTTTTAGTACCTTTAAAACTTTCCGGTACATTTGTATCTAGTTTTCTCCTTCCTGGTGAATCCAGAGGTTTCATATCACGAACAGAAAGCTTTGGTGGTGGAACAGATGGATGAGATTCTGTTTCTAGAAATTTAACAAAAAGTTCTGAAAAAGACTAAAAAGAAAATATTTGGGTTATATTAGGCAAATGTTAAAATTATATTCACTACAACTTAGAAAATATACCAGCTATTCTAATTAAATATTAAAAACTAATCATGCCATCTGAATCATTTCTTTATAACTAAGCTTTTATGAACAATTAAAATTGCTACCACTTTAGTTACACAGGTATCAAGTAAAAACTTAATAATCTTTGATGACAGCGCTTTATAGGCATTTAGTCAGAATTAGCCATCTGATAACACTTAGATTTCTTGCCATCAATTGCACTTAAGACATTAAGTCTTAAATCATTTTAATAACTGTTTACATAGACATGAAAACTTATACTGACAGAAAACAAATATTAGTCACATTTTTCTAAACTAACACCCAATCAATGAATATAGCAAAAGCTCACAAGTAATTGTAGCAGATTAAAATAATAGACATTTCTTTTAAATTAAATTTTATGCCATCCAATTTAAAATAAAGTTTTGTCTTTAGCTAGCTGTGGGTAAGTCACCTATCCTTCGTTTCCTCTTTATTAAAAAAAAAAGAAAGACGGAAACTCCACATTCTAACTCGCAGTGCTACTCAATTCAATTGATAGTCATCTTAAGCCTATTACATAACAGGCACTATATTTTCATAATTATTAACTGCCTCTTCCTGCCAGAATGCAAGTTCGTTGAGGGCAGGTACTTTATCTGGTTTGCTGCTGCATCCCCAGTGTTTAGAACAGAAGGGTACACAGCAAGTGCTCAATAAGTATTTACTGACTCAATAAATATGTAGACACATATACATGCATAAAATAAAGACTATCTTTAAGAATTTAGTGGTAAGACAGAAAAATGACTGTGTGCCTACAGCATCATGATCAAGTACAAATAAAGGAACAGTTAATACTTTAAAAAATAAAAGTATTACATAAATAAGAAGTTAAAACCTATATGCAGTAAACTTATCAAAACTAGGTTATTATCCTTAAGCTAATCACATCTATGGATCTGAGTTTCCACGACTTCAAAATAAAATGGCTATATAAAATAAGCTAAAAAAATAAATCTGGTTCTTTGCAAATGAATGTGATGTACAATCATTTCACCATTCAAATTCAGCAAACTAAAGTCAGCTCTTACACTATTAAACACAGACTGCTGATTTGGTCTGAGAGGTGTGTTGGGGACACTTTTTGATCCTCCGCCAAGCCACCCAGTCATCCATCTGGTAACACCGCCCTGATCTTCATTCAACAACTGCAAAATTATTTTAAAACAGAAAAATATTATCAGTACAAGAAAAGATAAAATAAGAACCATTTTTACAAGATTTCAGATGGTAGCAAACCATGCTTTTAAAGTCCAATTTCTGGTAAATGTTTCCTAGTGACAGAGGCTATAAATACAATGAAATATCATCCCAAATACTATCTTGACTAAAAGTTGAGGATTGTCATGTCTCAAAATCTCAGCATTTTGATAAGAAGGTGGCCTGTAAGTTACAAAACATTAAAACTAATATTATGCAAATTGAAAGTTCTGGTCAAGGTGGCAGAGGAGGTAAATGATGTGCTTGCCTCCTCCCATGACCACATCAAAATGACAACTAAATTACAGAACAATCAACCTGGACAGCGGTCTGAAGGCTATCTGAACAGAAGTCCTAGAACTAAGGATGTAAAGAAGAAGCCACGTCGAGACTGGTGGGAGGGGTGGAGATGCAAAATTGGCTGGCCCCAAGCCTCCGTGTGGCAGTCGAGAAACGAAAGGGATATCTCAGCTACAGAGGTACCCGCTGAGGAGAAAGGGGCCCCAGGCCCAACCCAGGCTCCCCAGCCTGGAGTACCAGTGCCAGGAAAAAGAGCCCCCACAACACCTACCTGTGAAAAATAGTGGGGATCCTGACCACCCAGGTGAGATGGAAGGCTGTGGGAAACCCAGGCATCCTCTTAAAAAGGCTATGTACAGGCTCACTCACTCACATGCACTCATCCCTAGGCTCCAGCAGAGGCACGGTGGCCAGAGATATACAGGGAGAAATTGAGTTATATGGCTCCAGGGCAAGGGGTAGAGGAACAGCTGCCACTGGCCCTGTGTTGAGCCCTCCCCCAAATCTGAATCTGTATTAGCCTGGTGATCCCCACTTGCCCTACCCTGATGACCCCGAGACCCTGCCTCATCCAAAGTGCATACGGCCCAAGGCTCTTTCAATGACTGAGCCTTATGGGTAGCTGGCAGGTGGTGGTAGGCCTCCGGGACACTATGCAATTTGCAGAGCTGCCCCAGGGCCCAGTGCTGGTGGCAGCCAACCTCGGTTCATAGCGTGGCCTCCCCATGTGCTCCCAGGTCCATCACAGGCAGCTGCCAAATGTGTACTGCTCTGTAGCTCTCTCCAGGTAGCTCTACAAGTCACAGGGAGCGGCTGAATTTGGCCTGCATAGGAGCCCTCCCCAAGAGGCCCCAGAACCAACACACCTAGAGGCCAGCTTCAGACAACAACAGAGAACCACCCGATTAGCCCCACAAGTGACACATACAAAGGGTGGTCTCGGCAGGCACCAGAGCCCATTGGGGTAAATCCTACTCCGTGGAATCAGCCCCCACACAGCAGATAATACTCTGTGGGCATGGCCAATCCTCAAAGCCAGTCAACCTGAGGGTCAATCCTACCCACTGATGTGCCAACAGCAATCAAGACTCAATTACAACAAGGGGGCACACACAACCCACACAAGAGACACTCCTGGAGCACCCAGCACAAGTAATCAGGGAGACTGCTGGGCCCCACAGGCCACCTACTACATAAGGCCACCCAGCGAAGACTGAGAGACATAGCAGATCTGCCTAATACATAGAAAGAAACACAGAGAGGCAGCCAAAATGAGGAAACAAAGAGACATGTCCCAAATGAAAGAACAAGAAAAAAACTCCAGAAAAAGAACTAAATGTAATGGAGGCAAGCAACCTACCAGATACAGAGTTCAAAACACTGGTTATAAGGAAGCTCAAGGAACTTAATGAGAACTCCAACAAAAAAATAGCACACATAAAAAAGGATATAGATACCATAAAAAAGAACCAGTCAGAAGTGAAGAATATAATAACTGAAATGATGAATATACTAGAAGGAATCAACAGCAGATTAGATGAAGCAGATGATCGAATCAGCGATTTGAAAGACAAGGTAGAAGAAAACACCCAATTAGAATAGAAAAAAGAAAAATGACTTTTAAAATAAATAAATTAATAAAGATAGTTTAAGGGACCTCTGGGACAACATCAAGCATAACAACATTTGCATTGTAGGAGTTCCAGGAGAAAAGAGAGAGCACAAGGGATTGAGAATCTATTTGAAGAAATAATGACAGAAAACTTCCCTATCCTGGCAAAGGAAATGGATATTCAAGCCCCGGAAGTGCAGAGAGTCCCAAAAAAGATGAACCCAAACAGGCCCACAACCAAGACACATCATAATTAAAATGCCAAAAGTTAAAGACAAAGAAATAATTTTAAAAGGAGCAAAATAAAACCAGTTAGTTACCTACAGGGAGCTCCCCTAAGACTCTCAGCTGATTTATCAACAACAACTTTACAGACAGGCCAGTAGGGATTGGCATGAAATATTTAAAGTGATAAAAAAACAAGGGCCTACAACTAAGACTATTCTAGCCAGCAAGGTTATCATTTAAAATTGAAAATTAGATAAAAAGCTTCCCAGACAAGAAAAAGCTAAAAGAGTTTATCACCACCAAAGTGGTATTACAAAAAATGTTACAGGGACTTCTTTAAGAAGAAGATAAAAAAAAGAACATAAATATGAATAAAATGGCAATAACTATGTACCTATCAATAATCACTTTAAATGTAAATAGCTTAAATGCTCCAATCAAAAGACATAGGGTAGCTGAATGGATGAGAAAACAAGACCTATATATATGCTGTCTACAAGAGACCCACTTCAGATTGAAAGACACACACAGACTGAAAATAAAGGGGTGGAAAAAAATATTTCATGTGAAAGGAAAATGAAAAAAAAAAAGAAAAGCTGGAGTAGCAATACTCATATCAGACAAAACAGACTTTAAAACAATGACTACAATAAGAGACAAAGAAGGACATTACATAATGATAAAGGTATTAATCCAACAAAAGGATTTAACTCTTGTAAACATGTATGCACCCAACATAGGAGCCCCTAAATATATAAAGCAAATATTGACTGACATAAAACCAGAGATCAACAGTAATGCAATCATAATAGGGGACTTTAACACCCCACTGACACCAATAGACAATTCTTTCAGACAGAAAATCAACAAGAAAACAGCAGCATTAAATGACTCACTAGACCAGATGGGTTTAATTGATATTTTTAGAACATTTCACCCCAAAGCAGAATATACATTCTTTTCAAGTGCACACACATTTTCCAAGACAGGCCACATGTTAGGCTGCAAAAAAGGTTTCAATCAATTTAAAAAGCTGAAGTCATATCAAGAGTCTTCTCTGACCACATAGTATAAAGCTAGAAATCAATTACAAGAAGAAAACTAGAAAACACACAAATACATGGGGGCTAAATAACACGCTACTAAACAACGAGTGAGTCAATGATGAGATCAAGAAAGGAATCAAGCAATACCTTGAGACAAATGAAAATGAAAACACAATGACCCAAAATCTAGCTTGGAAAGTATAATATTGTTAGGATGACAGTCTTACACAACATGATCTGCACATTCAGTGCATTTCCTATTAGAACCTCAACAGAATTTCCTGTAGAAATAGAAAAATTCATCCTAAAATTCATATGGAACCTCAAGTTACCCTAAATAACCAAAATAATTTTGAAAAAGAAAAACAAAGTTGGAAGACGCACACTTCCTAATTTCATAGCGTATAATAATCAAAACATTGTGCTACTGGCGTAAAGACACACACAGACCAATGGAATAGAATGAAGAGCCCCCAAATTACCATATTTCCCCATGTATAAGACGCACTTTTTTGGGAAAAAGGGTGTGTCTTATACATGGGGAAATACAGTAATCTGTGTGTGTGTGTGTGTGTGTGTGTGTGTATGTGTGTATGTGTGTGTGTGTGTGCGCGCGCGCGCACACACACACACACACACACACACAGCTTCTCCATCAGAGTGCCCAAACCACTCAATGGGGGAAATGACAGTCTTTTCAACAAATATTGCTGGGAAACTAAATATCCACATGTGAAAGAATAAAGCTGGGCCCTTACATTACTACATATATCTATATAATTCATTCAAAATGGATCAAAAACCTAAATGTAAGAATTAAAACTATTAGAAGAAAACACAGAGAAAAATCTTCATGACTTTGGATTGGCAGTGGTTTCTTAAATATTACACCCAAAGCACAAGCAACAAAAGTAAAAACAATAAAATGGAATTTCATCAAAATTTATTAAAAACTTTTGTACAAAGAACACTATCAAGAAAGTGAAAAGACAACACAAAGAATTGGAGAAAATATTTGCAAATGATATACCTGATGAGGGATTGATATACAGAATATATAAAAGACTCCTACAACTCAACAAAAAAACAAACAACCCAACTGAAAAATAGGCCAAGGACTTCAACAAACATTATTCCAAAGAAAATATGTAAGTGACCAACAAGTACATGAAAAGCGCTCAGCATCACCAGTCATTAGGGAAAGGAAATCACAATCATGATGAGATAGACAGCACTTCACACCCATTGGGATGCTATTTCCTGTTTAAAAAAAGAAAGGAAGGAAGAAAAAAGAGCAAGTGTTGGCAAGGATGTAAAAGGACTAGGAACCCTTGTTCACTGCTGGTGAGAATGCAAAATAGTGCAGCAACTGTGAAAAACAGTACAGCAATTCCTCAAAAAATTAAACACAGAATTACCATATGACCCAGCAATTCCACTTCCAGGCATATACCTGAAAGAATTTACAGCAGGGCCCCAAACAGATACGTATTTGTATAGCCATGTTCGTCGTGGCATTATTTATAACAGTCAAAAGGTAGAAGCAACCCAAGTGTCCATCACAGATGAATAAAAAAACATAGTATACACATACAATGGAATATTAATATATTTAATATACTCAAAAAGGAAAGAAGTCTTGACATATGCTACTACTATGAATCCTGAAGACATTTTGCTATGTGAAACAAGCCACACATAAAAGGACAAATATTATATGGTGGCCAGGGGCTGGTAGGGTGGTGGAGAGGAGAATGAGGCGTTAATGTTTAAAGGGTACAGAATTTAAATTGGGAAGATGAGAAAGTTCTTGAAATGATGGTGGTGATGGTTGAATAACAATGTGAATGGACTTAATACCACTGAACCGTACACTTAAAAATGGTTAAAATGGTCAATTTTATGTTATGTTTTATCACAATACAAATTTTAAAAAGTAAAAAAAGAAAAAAAATTCCACAAATTGAACAAATCCACCTCCTCACTGTGGTATGAAATGATTCCATTTCCACATTATTGAGAAAATTATGCTCAGGAAAAGTTATATAAAATACAGTGAAAAAAATTTTTATAGGGCCGGTCGAGTGGCACCATGGTTAAGAACTGGCTTGGGATGCCAGAGGGCCCCGGTTTGGATCCCACATGAGGACCAGTGACACTGTCCTCCACAGCTAAGATGCTGAACAACAGCTCAACCTGGAGCTGGGCTGCCGTGAGTCGCCTGCGTCGGGTAGGCTGCAGCCCCTGTGGCAGTGGGTTGCCATGGGCTACCGTGTGTAGCCAGCAGCCAGCGTGAGCGGCCGTCCAGAAGCCGCAGTGAGCGGCCGTCCAGAAGCCGGCGACTGATCTGCCTCGCCCGGGAAGAGCGCAATGATGGTGCCAACTTGAGCCAGTGAAGCAACGTTCTCCACAACTATACTGAAGAACAAAAAAGGACAGCAACTTGTCTGTTCCCCTTCCCCCAATTCCCCAACACTGTTCCCATCCCCCAATTCCCCAATAAAAATCTTTAAAAAAAAAGAGATTCTTTAAAAAAAAAATTGTATATGATGCCATTATTTTAGTTATAAATGTATTCTGAATGGCTTTCATTGTTCAGTTACCTGCTCCATTTCCTCCCTTTTGATACCCAGGATGCTTCCCATTAATCGTAACACTTCATGACGCTGGTTTTTTGGTGTGTGGAAATGTCCAATGAAGAGATTTCTCATTAGAACTCTATAAAAATGAAGGCAGAAACAGCTCAAGCTACCTCAACAAGTTATCCCAATATTTAGTGTACCCAAATAATAAACATTAAACATACAAATATTTAATTACACTTCAACAATACTTGATTATAAAACACTAAACAATAAAATATTTTAAGGTAACTTTAAAAAAACCTTGACATGTCTAATTAAGAATACTTCATACAACCCAAAATGTTTTAAAAACACACTTATGAGCCAGCCACCCACTTTCTTCAACCAAATAATCAACTGAGATGGTGCCTCATTAGTAATTCTCAGTGCCTGTCTGGGTTGATGTCAAGCTGAAGGTGACTCTTCAGATTTTTTTCCCTCCCCACCTTACACCATGATGGTAGTTTGCGTGCTTAATGGTTGTGCTTATATTTCCCTACTCATATTTATTACAAATTCGCTAATAATGTCGAAATCTGTAAAATATTAATGGTATATTACATATAGTCCTAGGTTTCAGACGTAATACATTTGAGCAAAATGTGTTAATTTAAGGACAGTAAAGACAGTAAAAAAAGTATTGGAAGAATTAACTTTTTTCTGAGTGTGGTGATGTTTTAATGCTTCCATATGGCTCTAAGAAAAAGAATTGGAGCTGAGAAAATCTATTTAATCAAGAGAAATTATTCTACTGACCCCTCATTAAAACTACCTACCATCTTATCACTATATAAGAAAAATAAATGGCTTTTTAAAAACTTAATCACATATAAACATCTACATGTCGAAATTTTTACCATAAAAGTAGTCTCCATAAAATACATAAAAGTTAAAAGGCAGAGCATACTTGTCTACTTTTCCTTCTGTGCTGTTTACTAAATTCATTAATTTCTTTTGTACATCATCCAGCATTTCTTGTCGGAGCTCATCTGTTTTAAAACATGTGAACAAAGATAGTCATTAACTGATTAAAATAATATGGATGAATATATAATGAGATTTAAGACATCTTTACTATGAATTTTGAATACATGTACTCATTCTAATTAGGAATATTCAATTACTTTCATCTCTTCTTTGGTTCAGGAAACTAGGCTTGCTGGTGTAAAAATTACCTAGATGCCAGGGTATGCATAAACTCACATGGTTTACCCCCAATAAAGTAATCAAATCTTTAATAGAAAATTTAAAAACAAAAAAAAGTTACTATAATATAAATATATATATATATATATATATATATATATTTGTGGGATGTAAAGTACAGCATGGAGAATATAGCCAATGGTATTTTAACAGCTATACACGATGTCAGAAGGGTAGTAGACTTGGGGAGGGAAGTTATCACTTTGTGAGGGGTATAAATGTCTAATCATTATGTTGTTTTGTGTACCTAAAACTAATTTTTAAAAAAATTTAAAAAGGTTTTCATTCTCTTCAGAAACTTAATAGTAAAGAAGAGATTTTTCACCACTGCTTCCTTGCAGGGAACATTTCCAGAGCCACTCATTAATGGGAAGAAATGGAAAAGACAATTTTAGATTTTCCTTTTTCCTGGCTGGCCTCTGCTTTTTGGTGAGCTAAGAAAAGCATCCAATACAACTGAAACCATGGCTCAGAATTTAACTGACAGGCAAATTCTGGGGTACATAAACTGCAAAATATAATTCATCTTACGGGTTCTAATATACTAATTGAGATACTCCAATTTGACTGATTTAGATGGACGTTTGGACTCTTATTTTAACATTCTTATTTAAAAAGGAAGCAAAATCTGTAAAATCTTGGTGAATTGTTGGAATTTGAGCAGTATTAAAGGCAATGTCTAGAATTACAACAGGAAACACTCTGTTCAGAATTTCAACCACGCCACAGGGCCAAGGATTCCTAGACTAAGGAACTCTCTGCCAAACCCATGGAGTTTACACCTGTCACCTCACAAATGGATAGTTTGAGCTGAAGGAGATGCTTATTAAATTCAAGTTAGATTACAAATTTCATTCTGAAAGAAATGAAGGGAAGACTGCTTTGCAACAGTCTCAATTTTTCAAATCAAGAAACACATCCAAACCCTAGACTCTGAACTCTTTTCACGAACCTACTCTTTTGAGTTATGCTGCATTTTCCTAGTAGTAGCTGGACACAAGTTCCCTTATCAGATCCTTGCAAATGTTTTCTCCATTCTGTGGGTTGTCATTTCACTCTCTTGATGCTATTCTTTGAAGTACAAAAGTTCTTAATTTTGTTGAAGTCCAATTTATTTTTTCTTTTGTTGTTTGTGCTTTCGGTGTCATATCTAAGAAACCACTGCCTAACTCCACATCACAAAGATTTACTCCTATGTTTTGTTCTAGGAGTTTTACAGTTTTAACTCTAAAATATAGGTCTATGATCCACTTTGAGTTAATTTTGGGACATGGTGTGAGGCAGGGGTCCAACTTCGTTCTTGAGCATGTGGATATCCAGTTGCTCCAGCACCGTGTGTTGAAAAAACTATTCTTTTGGCACTATTGTTGAAAATCTATTGACTATAAATGTATGGTTTATTTCTGGACTTTCAATTCCCACTGCAAGCCTTCTGTATATAATTTTTCTTCTGCCTGGAAAGCTCTTTTCCATTGGCACCACCTATTAACTCCTATTCATCCTTCACGTCTCAGTTCCCAGGTCACTTCCTCAAAGAAGTTTTCTCTGAGCCTTAAACATTAGGCCAGGTCCATCTGCTTTATGTTTTCATTCTGTCTTGCACACTGCCTAAAATTCTGACTTACAGTATTAAACGTATATACAAAATGTCCAGTTTAACTGTTTGCAATGGCTTATGTTTTTTCTAAATTGCAAAAATCTGAATTGCAAAATGTAATTCATATAATAGGCTCACTCTACCAAAATAGATGGTTGCCATAACCAGATTATAAAAGCGAGGTTTGTGTTTGGAAAATCTACTACAAACATTTCCTTTCCTGTCTTTCCAGTAAGGCATTTAAGCTTGGGGGGTGGGGGTGGGAGGGGGAGAGAGGGATAGGTCAGAATAAGGAAGGGCTTAGGGCATGATGGGAGTGGGTACTTCTCAAGTAGAATGGTCAAGGGACAGTATC